TGTTGTGGAGCTTAGGAGATGTTACAGAACCATTTCATGTAAATTTCTTCGATATACTGAAAAAAATCTATATAGATTACTTTTATGCGGGCAGAAGCGGGATAAAACATGAATGTTGCGGGCGTGAGCGGGACCAGACAAGATATATTTCTGCGGGAGCGGGACAGAATCTTGTGGGAGCGGGACTGAAAAATCCGTTCCGCGCAGGTCTCTAGCCAGGGCCTCAAGGAGACATGGGTGTGCCAGGTCTGAATGGCACAAATGGGCTTCCTGGGGCTAAGGGTCCGAAGGGAGACCCAGGACCCCCAGGTAAGCAGGGAGAGCCTGGTCCTCCAGGACCCCATGGACCACCAGGGCAGAAAGGCACACGAGGCCTGAAGGGAGCACGAGGTTTTAGGGGACTCAAGGGCCTTAAGGGTGAACCTGCTGTTCAGAAGCGCTCAGCCTTCAGCATTGGTCACTTTCCCAGCTGATCGTTCCCACCACCTGGCCTGCCGATCAAGTTTGATAAAGTAATTTACAACGAGGAGGGTCACTGGGACCTCCACGCCAGTAAGTTTAACTGCACTCATGGGGGAGTATACGTCTTTTCCTACTACATAACAGTGCGTAATCGCCCCCTGCGCGCAGCCCTGGTGGTGAACGGCATTCGGAAACTGCGAACTCGCCACTCCCTTTACGGCCAGGACATTGACCAGGCCTCCAACATGGCAGTGCTGCGTCTATCATCTGGAGACCAGGTCTGGCTGGAGACTCTGCGGGACTGGAACGGTGTTTATTCCAGCAGCGAGGACGACAGCACGTTTTCTGGATTCCTGCTCTATGCTGATGCTACCGGGGACTGACGGCCAGGAATCGCACTGACTTCTGGATGAACCATTTTAGACCAGTACTTCATTTTGTAGGGGTGAAACGAAAGCCACCTATATTACCTAAAGTACTTGAGACCTGAAATTAGATCCATCTACTAACAGTAACTGTACAGCCACTAATTATTACGCTACCTGTTTCATGGCCAGACCAATCAATGCTGGAATGTGCTGTAATTTTTTTTTACAAGCTGATAATTTGTTGCAGCTATTTTGTAGCTCTTTACATATTTATACAAAATAGCTAGCAGCAAATGCAATAAAATAATAATGATTTAATTCTGTCTTTTGTTAACCATGCTGTGATTTAAAAAAAAGAAATAATTTTATGTAATATTAATTTCATTTATATAAATGCAAGACTTAGTTTTGTTAATTATAAATGATACCTTTTTCAACATTTAAATAGTTTTCAGGGTTTTTTTTTGCCACATGAATAAACATCCATGTATATACTCAATCTGAAAAATTACAGCTGTTACCTATACAATTTAATCATATTTACATATTTATAATTCAGATGGTATTGGGGGAGGGACATTCTCATTATACGGAGAATTTGATTGGACAACAATCTCTGTAGTTCATGATAAATCATTATTTTTTTTGGACCATTTTCCAAAGAAATACTATAAATTTTAAATGCATGTTTCTGCTATAAGTTGTCAGAGCTATCTTTAAGCAGAAAAATACATTTAAAATGTACAGTATTTCTGACTTAAGATTTAAGTTAACATACACAGACAAAAACTCACAAAGGTAAATTTCAAAACTCTGTAAATTATGGTTCAGTCTATACAGGGTGTCTACAGATATGAACAAGTTAAATTTAAGACTTTTTAAGACCTTTTTAATACCACCTTATATGATATTTAAGACCAAGCCTGTGATGGAAATACACATTATATTACATACGTATATGTAATATTTAACGCATTTAAATGTAAAAAGAAAACAAAATATCACCGCTGTCAAATTAGGAAAACTTTATTTAAGACATTTTAAGACCTTTTAAGGACCCGCGGCCACCCTGCTATATGTTTGAATATATTCTGACTAAAATCTAATAGGAAACAGTGAACAATGAATGAGCAATGAACAGGCAACATAATGTTCAGTCCCCAGTTTGCACACAATCAATCATAAAAACCACAAATGTATGTCAAGAGGAACTGCCTCAAAAAATGACAGGACGTAACTCGCAATGACAAGTTGACTCAGCAAAGAGGAACTGTGAGTCAAGTAAGAGACTCAGAGACAAATGGACGCCATCATGTAGTCGCTACTGAAGTACAGGTTTAAAGATGATCACAGAACTGAATCAGTGCCATTGTGACTGTATGTCATAAGCTTTACTGGGAAACCACAATTTACAGCATTATTTGCATTCTGCCCATTCAGAAGCCGGATGAATGTCCGGTCAATGTTTAAAGATTCATAACTTTCTGTAAATACAAAAAAAAAAAAAAACAGGTAATATGATTCTCTCTCATATCTCTCATGTGATTTCCTTCAACTGACTTTTAATTTTTCCATACTGTTACACCAGTAATACAAAACTATGCATTTTTGATGATCAAACAAAATAGTGACAGATTATTTCTTGTTATACTAGAAACATTTACATTTTTAAGTAGTTCAGTGATAAAAATAAAACAATGGAAGACTGAAAATGAAATAAAAACAAATAACAGCAACACGCTATTACTGGCCTTTATATGCCTTATTCAACAGGTACAAATGCAAATAACATTGCAATCACATTTTTATAAAAACTAAAAACTATTATTTTAGAAAAATTTAAAGTGCAGAACAAAACAGAACCTGCAAATTTTGGTTTTAAATAACACAATTATTTATAAATGTAAATTTAAATGATCTTAGAAAAAAAGCCAGTAAACTTGTGCGCATAGAACTGTAAAGTGCAGCTGTCAGCTATAAGTACTTTGCCTGATGCACATAAGATGTTCAAAGGATAGCAGCATCATTCTGGGTTGACTGGCTGCGGTCAGGGTCATTCAGACGGTGGATGCGGATCAGTCTATTGACTGGCAGAGAACTGATACAGAAAGAACAGAACATTACATTTTTACTAGGACTATAAATTTAAAACTGTGTTATAAATGATAAAAATAAGGCAATCATGTCTTCTAATCTAACTACATCTACACATTTCTGCATGAACACTAGAGAAGCTCTTTACCTCATGCTCTGTGGTGTGAGGAAAATAAACTGTCTGTAGCGCTGACTGGCAGCGATCTTTAGCATCATGTCCATGGAGATCCTCCGGTTCACCATGTCCTGAGAGAGCAAACACACAATACAGTGACTGCATGCTCTTCTCCAGAACTCCAGGCACCTGATTCTCCTTAGTAGCCATGACAAATATCTTACTGAATTCGCAAAACATGTTAATGGCTACTTCACATGATACATCAAGGAGTGACAGAAGTGTAAAAAAAAAAAAAAAAAAAAAATTTTTTTTTTTTTTAAACAACATTTTAAGAGATTAAAAAGGGTTTTATTACTCAGTTACATTTTTGTTATTACTCAGTGTTCTTTTTATTATACTTAGTGACATGTTTTGAGCCCAAAATGAATGAATTTTTGTATTTGCATATTTATTATGTATGCATACTTTATGGCCACATATCAAACAGAGACAACATTACATTTTTGTATTTGTAAAAATTCATTTGTTAACATTGTTTGACCGTTTAAATGAACTACAAAAAGCTAAACTGTGGAAAAAATGGTTATCAGTTACAGCACCCAAAATATACACTGAAGACAAAATCCTGATTAAATGTAATTAGTAAATATTAATAAAATCCCAGAGAGACTGTTCAAAACTACTGTTACTGTTCAAAAGAATGGGATTGGTAAGATTTAAACATTTTTTTCAACAAGTCTCTTATTCTCACCAAGGCTGAATTAATTTAATCATAAATACAGTAAAACAGCAATATTGTAAAATATTACAATTTACAGTAAATGTTTTTTATTTGAATATATTTCAAAATGTCATTTATTTCTGTGATTCAAAGCGGAATATTCAGCATCATTACTTCAGTCTTTAGTGTCACATGATCCTTCAGAAATCATTCTAATGTGCTGATTTGCTGCTCAAGAAACATTTCTTTTTATTATCAAAGATGAAAGCAGTTGTGCAGTCTAATATTTTTGTAAAAACATACTGAATATACTCCTTACCATATACACATCGAACTCATCTAAAGCACGGAACGGAGCTTCAGCTATGGCCCACAGTGACAAAACGAAGCACACGGTAGAAAACGAACGCTCTCCTCCAGACAGTGAACGCATGTCACTCAGAGCGGCCTTACCACCCTCTCCTGGCTGAACCTGAGGAAGAGACAGATGACCGTCATCATGAGAAACGATTGTACTTTTAAAAAGTCACGGTTACTGCATGTAGAGCAAAATCCTGACCCAAGGACATTTTTGAGAGCATAGGCTATTCAACAAAATTAAATTATACAAGACTGCATGCCTCTATGCATGCATCCGGTGTTTGTTCATCAAGAAAACAACTACATCAAAGATGTTATCATCTTGCAAAGTCTTACTGATATGGAGAGAGTCTCATCCTTATGATCAAAGGTCATCTTCCCTATGTATCCTCTCTGAAACAGCATGGCGTCAAAGTAGTACTTACAGCGTACAGAAAGATACCTGGAAACACACAGAAACACAACCTACATCATTATCATCAGTACCTTAAAATCTGCACTAAAATGGACAAGCCCTTTGATACGTCCCACTGTAACTTGCTGTTTTAAGGCAAGACACTACAGGCAAAACCACTTTTTTTTAATGCACTGGTCAATTTTGAGATTTTGGGCTTTTTGTAACATGCTGTTTCAGACTAGTAGAAAGAAAACTTATTTTACTGCACTTTATCTTTGTGCATCTGATTTTTTTTTTCTGGCTGATGTAAAGTACAGTATTTTCTGATTTATGGAGTGATAAAACGATACCCAAAATCCCTGATGTAAAAACCTTTAACTGTCAGCAAAATGAAACAAGAATTTTGAACCTGGCTTTATACAATTTTCAGATTCCTGTTCTGGAAATGTATGCACATTCTTGCTTATTTAACTAAATAATGGCTTATTTGCATTTTTAAACATACCATTTCAAAAAACTTGTAATATAAAACACAAATCATTCTAATGTGCTGATTTGCTGCTCAAGAAACATTTCTTTTTATTATCAAAGATGAAAGCAGTTGTGCAGTCTAATATTTTTGTAAAAACATACTGAATATACTCCTTACCATATACACATCGAACTCATCTAAAGCACGGAACGGAGCTTCAGCTATGGCCCACAGTGACAAAACGAAGCACACGGTAGAAAACGAACGCTCTCCTCCAGACAGTGAACGCATGTCACTCAGAGCGGCCTTACCACTCTCTCCTGGCTGAACCTGAGGAAGAGACAGATGACCGTCATCATGAGAAACGATTGTACTTTTAAAAAGTCACGGTTACTGCATGTAGAGCAAAATCCTGACCCAAGGACATTTTTGAGAGCATAGGCTATTCAACAAAATTAAATTATACAAGACTGCATGCCTCTATGCATGCATCCGGTGTTTGTTCATCAAGAAAACAACTACATCAAAGATGTTATCATCTTGCAAAGTCTTACTGATATGGAGAGAGTCTCATCCTTATGATCAAAGGTCATCTTCCCTATGTATCCTCTCTGAAACAGCATGGCGTCAAAGTAGTACTTACAGCGTACAGAAAGATACCTGGAAACACACAGAAACACAACCTACATCATTATCATCAGTACCTTAAAATCTGCACTAAAATGGACAAGCCCTTTGATACGTCCCACTGTAACTTGCTGTTTTAAGGCAAGACACTACAGGCAAAACCACTTTTTTTTAATGCACTGGTCAATTTTGAGATTTTGGGCTTTTTGTAACATGCTGTTTCAGACTAGTAGAAAGAAAACTTATTTTACTGCACTTTATCTTTGTGCATCTGATTTTTTTTTTCTGGCTGATGTAAAGTACAGTATTTTCTGATTTATGGAGTGATAAAACGATACCCAAAATCCCTGATGTAAAAACCTTTAACTGTCAGCAAAATGAAACAAGAATTTTGAACCTGGCTTTATACAATTTTCAGATTCCTGTTCTGGAAATGTATGCACATTCTTGCTTATTTAACTAAATAATGGCTTATTTGCATTTTTAAACATACCATTTCAAAAAACTTGTAATATAAAACACAATTCTTAATATAATCAATCAACTGGGGAAGTATGGTGACTTTTTTTTTTACCCTATTCGCTTGCGTTGTCCTTAATAGGGAATTTTTTCCTCTCCTGGCTGAACCTGAGGAAGAGACAGATGACCGTCATCATGAGAAACTACTGTACTTATAAAAAGTCACGGTTACTGCATGTAGAGTAAAATCCTGACCCAAGGACATTTTTGAGAGCATAGGCTATTCAAAAAAATTAAATTATACAAGACTGCATGCCTCCGGTGTTTGTTCATCAAGAAAACAACTACATCAATGATGTTATCATCTTGCAAAGTCTTACTGATATGGAGAGAGTCTCATCCTTATGATCAAAGGTCATCTTCCCTATGTATCCTCTCTGAAACAGCATGGCGTCAAAGTAGTACTTACAGCGTACAGAAAGATACCTGGAAACACACAGAAACACAACCTACATCATTATCATCAGTACCTTAAAATCTGCACTAAAATGGACAAGCCCTTTGATACGTCCCACTGTAACTTGCTGTTTTAAGGCAAGACACTACAGGCAAAACCACTTTTTTTTAATGAAAAAAAAACAAGGAAAAAAAAAAATTTCTGATTCTGTAACATAGACGTAAATAAAAATATTATATTGATATTTAATATTAAGGTAACACTTTACAGTAAGGTTCCATTAGTTAATGTATTAACTAGCATGAACGAACAATGAACAATACATTTATTACAGTATTTATTAATCTTTCTTAATGTTAGTTAATGATAATACAGTTGTTCACTGTTAATTCATGTTAATTCAGAGTGCATTAACTGTTAACAAGCACAATTGCTGATTTTAATAATGCATTAGTAAACGTTGAAATTAACATTAAGATTAATAAATGCTGAAGAACTATTCATTCTTAGTTCATGTTAACTAAAGTAGTTAACTAATGAACAATGTAAAGTGTTACGGATATTAATATAAATTCTGTCCAGTTTTATTGTGTTACTTTCAGTAAAAGTGTGGTTATTTTATTGGCTTGTGTTTTTTAAATTCATTATCACTAAAATTATTGAATTAAATTAAAAAGTCTTACAAAATTACTTTATATTATTTAATAAAATAATAATTAATCATTACAAAGCATTTTCGGTTTTGGTTTTCGCCCAAGTGCATCCAGAATCTTCGGTTTCGGCCCAGAATTTTCATTGCGGTGCATCCCTAATGATCATATTCATATACCATGGTATATATTAGTATAAATATCACAAACAGTTTATTTTAAGAATTGAGGGGAGAATCAGAGAGGAAATATGTTTAAATATCCTGCAAAACTGTAAGACATGCAAGATGTAGATGAGTTTGTTTCTACTTTAGAACAGAGTTGGAGAAATTTAGCATTACATCAACTGCTCACTAATGGATCATATGCTGTGAATGGGTGCCGTCAGAATGAGAGTCAGCTGATAAAAACATCATAATAATCCACACCACTCCAGTCCATCAATTAACATCTTGTGAAGCAAAAAGCTGCATGTTTGTAAGAAACAAATCCATCATTATAGTGTTTTAACTTTATACCATTGCTTTCGGCTAAAATAGAGTCCATAATCCATAATAACATTTCCTCCAGTGGAATAAAATCCATCTCCTTTTGCAATCTCACAAGAAAATATATGTTTAGAATTGCTTCGGGTTGTTTTTGCTTGTAAATGCATATTTCTCTCTTGATTCAGATAAGGTGAATTTTTCTCTTGAGAAAGCAGTATTATGGTAGAGCACTCGTTTGATGTTAAAAATCATCTTAATTATAGTTTTTATTTTTTTTAATTAAAAACACAGCTTTTCACTTCACAAATCATTAATTGATGGACTGGAGTGTTGTGGATTACTTGTGGATTATTATGTTTTTATCAGCTGTTTGAACTCTCATTCTGACGGCACCCATTTCCTGCAAAGGATCAATTGCTAAGCAAGTGATGTAATGCTAAATTTCTCAAAATATTTTCCGATGAACAAACTCATCTACATCTTGGACGTCCTGAGGGTGAGTAAATTTCAGTAAATATTCATTTTTGGGTGAACTATTCCTTTAATGGTTCTGAAAATAGGCTTCTTTTTTCTTCACATTAAATATAATTTCTTGTTTCTTTCTTTTGATTTTGGGGTGAAATACCACCCGGTCACATTTGTTTGACAGCTGGAGACTGTCTATGTACCTGACGATAGTGTCTCTGTGTCCTTGTTGGTCTTGCTGTGTGTTGATCTTGTGTCTGAGGCGGCTGATCTCGCTGTCCAAGCTCTTCGCTGTTCTCCTCACATCCAAGCGCTCGGGGCAAATTTCTAAGGCTTTCGCTATGGAAGCCTGTCAAAAATAGATTCACTCAAACAAACGGAAAACCCTTCATATCTAATTTGGTCACCTGTAACAGCTGGTCCTTCTCATTCAAGTTCTTCTTTAGTGTCTCAATCATGTCCACATGGGCTTTCCGCTTCTCTTGCTTCTCTTCTTTATGATGTTTACTCCTCTCCAACTCCTGATCACTGTTGCTCAATTGCTCCTACAAGCACTACAAGCAATACAAAACTGTTTACTAGATTGCACACATTGATAATTAAGAATGTGTGCTGTTGTGGACTGTTCAGTAGTGAACTTGAAGCTCATGATCCTTATTTTAAAGCTTGACAGCCTGCTATTTTTAAACATTAGCAAAGATGAATTAGGACTCTGGTGGTTAAAAGCTGTCCACTGATGATGTTACACATGCCGGGAGAGCCGGGAGAGCTCCTCATATTCCCTCTTGTGTGTCAGCACCTGATTCCGCGCAGCTTCAAATTCCTCTCTTTCCTCTCTACTTCGGCTGCTGAGCTCCTCCAGGTCCTCTTCCTGAACACAGAGCCATAATTAGACACAGAAACCCACCGAAACATTTATCTTTATAATGAGTGAATCTGTTTGTTACCAAAGGTTTCAAATCTTCTGAGTGAGGTTCCTCAACATTTTGCAATTCTGTCAGCTCTGCTTGAAGTTTCCGACAGCATTCCTGTTAGTCAAAATAAACAAAAAATACATATTAGAACATATTTGGTTAAAATGGTATGATGTGGTCTGTGCACGGCAGGTATTTAATGACCTGGGCTTTCCTGTGGTCTTCATAGGCACTGCGAAGAACAAAGAAAAAAAAAAAGGTTTTATCTTTCTTGGTTGTTGATCAGATTAATAGAAAACTGTCCACATGAATATGAATTCTAAATCCAAGCCAACATCAAAATTAATGAAAAACATCCAAATAAAATAACAACAAAAATATGGGGGTACAAAAAAGGTAATGACAAGGTCTCAGTGCAGATGGGAGGCTGGACAATGCACAATTAAATGATCATGTTGAATGTTGGTTTGACATGTTGAATTAGTGTTGGCTTGACAAAGAAGATACAGTTTAAAAATTTCAACTGTTACCATTCAAAAGTTAAAGGGGTGGTTGACTGCTTTTTTTTTCTTTTCTAGGCTTGATTGTGTTTATGGGGTGCAGTCTAACATGAGTTAATGCTTTGTTTAAAAAAAAACGTATTATGTTTCACATAATTTACTTTTATTCTACACCGCTGTCCCTTCTCCTATGAACGCTCTGATCATTTCCTGGTTTTATGAAGCCCTTCCCTCAGAAATGGGCTCAGATTGGTTAGCTTGCTCAGTGTGTTGTGATTGGCTAAATCGCCTAGTGTGTGTCTAAACGTCACGCCCCCTCAGCTCAGAGGCACGTGCTCCGGTTATATTGTAAACAATGGCGTCGTCAATATTGCTTATCAATTTGAGCCCGAATGAGACCCAGAGAATATTAGTGAAGAGGATCGCGCAGAACCTGTGCAAGCACGGCTCTTACAGGACGTTTCAGAATAGTAGTTTTTTTTGTTTGTTGTTGTCTCGTACTTTTAGATACGCTGTTACTTGTAAATGCTACTGCTTATGTTAGCTTTTAATATACGGTTTTATCCTGATTAAAGCTTTAATAGAGCAGAATACATGATTGCGTTGTAGCATTTTTGTATGATCTTTCTTGGATGTTGATCAGATTAATAGAAAACTGTCCACATGAATATGAATTCTAAATCCAAGCCAACAACAAAATTAATGAAAAACATCCAAATAAAATAAAAATATGGGGGTACAAAAAAAGGTAATGACAAGGTCTTGTTTGAATTTTAAACTGTTACCATTCAAAAGTTAAAGGGGTGGTTGACTGCTTTTTTTCTAGGCTTGATTGTGTTTATGGGGTGCAGTCTAACATGAGTTAATGCTTTGTTTTTAAAAAAACGCATTAATGTTTCACATAATTTACCTTTATTCTACACCGCTCTGTCCCTTCTCCGATTAACGCTCTGATGATTTCCTGGTTTTATGAAGCCCTTTCGTCATAAATACACGATGGGCTCAGATTGGTCAACTGGCTCAATGTATTGTGATTCGTTAAACCGCCTACTGCACGTCTAAACGTCATGCCCCTCAGCTCAGTGGCACGTGCTCCGGTTGTATTGTAAACAATGGCATCATCAATATTGCTTATCAATTTGAGCCCGAATGAGACCCAGAGAATATTAGTGAAGAGGATCGCGCAGAACCTGTGCAAGCACGGCTCTTACAGGACGTTTCTGAATGGTGTGTTTTTTTTTTTTTGTTTTCTCAGACTTTTAGATGCGCTGTTACTTGTAAATGCTAGTGCTTATGTTAGCTTCTAATATACAGTTTTATCCTGATTAAAGCTTTAATACAGCAGAATACATGATTATGTTGTAGCATTTTTGTAAATTGTTTATTTTGTAACAGTAGGAAGGGTTTGACAGCAAGTACTGCTCGCTACCACGGCAACCGCATGCACATCCATGTTTAACGCTTCTCGTAGCTATGTGAAAAATATCTGTCTGTCTATACACAAAGTGTATAATTGGAACAGTTCATTGATGGAGCTGATGAGCTGATGATCTGGAGAGAGAGAGAGAGAGAGAGAGAGAGAGAGAGAGTGCAGGGCAGGGGACGCGAGGAACAGGATTAAGAACTGCTGCTTTAGAACATTGATTTTGAAACTTGTGATTCCATTAGAAATGTTAGAAAACAGAATCGCGATTCATATTTACATTACATTACATTTAGTCATTTAGCAGACGCTTTTATCCAAAGCGACTTACAAATGAGGACAATGGAAGCAATCAAAATCAACAAAAGAGCAATGATATGCAACTGCTATAACAAATCTCAGTTAGCTTAACGCAGTACATGTAGCAAGGTTTTTTAAAAATTATATAATAAATAAAAAGAAAAACAGATAGAATAGAAAAAGAATAGAGCAAGCAAATGTTAGAGGCCCCTTTTTTTTGCTTTTTGTTAATTGTATATTAAATAAAGAGAAAACAAATAGATAGAATACAAAAAGAATAGAGAAGCTAGTGTTTTTTAAGAATAGAATTAGAATAGAGAGTGCTAGAGTTAGAGGGTCAAATAAAGATGGAAGAGATGTGGTTTTAGCCGATTCTTGAAGATTGCTAAGGACTCAGCTGCTCGGACTGAGTT